ACACCAAGGTCAGTGGAGAAGGAGGGGGAGGGGGTGCTCCAGGCCCTGGAGCTGAGGTTCCCCTGCAGCCCATGGTGCAGACCATGGTGGAGCAGCTGTGCCCCCGTGCAGCCCATGGAGGACCATCGGGGTACAGAGACCGACCTGCAGCCCATGGAGGACCATCGAGATGCAGAGACCCACCTGCAGCCCATGGAGGAGCCCATGCCAGAGCAGGTGGATGCCCAAAGGAGGCTGTGACCCTGTGGAAGGCTCATGCTGGAGCAGGGACCTGCTGACCTATGGAGAGAGGAGCCAGAAACCTGCCAGGTTTCCTGGTAGGACTTGTGGCCATGTGGGGGACCCATGCTGGAGCAGTCTGTACCTGAATGCACCCCATGGAAAGGCACCCACATTGCAGCAGTTTGTGAAGAACTGTTGCCCATGGGATGGACTCACATTAGAGAAGTTTGTGAAGGACTGTCTCCTGTGGGAGGGACCCCATGCTGGAGCAGGGGAAGGACTCCTCTCTCTGAGCAGCAGCAAAAACAATTTGTGATGAACTGACCCTAACCCCCATTCCCCTTCTCCCTGTGCTGCTGGGGGGGGAGGAGATAGAACTTGGGAAAGAGGGAGGGGTTGGGGGAAGTTGTTTTCAAGATTTTACTTCTCATTATCCTGCTCTGATTTTTGTCAGTAAGAAATTTAATTAATATTCCCAATTCGAGTCTGTTTTGCCCGTGACAGTAATCAGTGAGTGTTCTCTCCTGGTCCTTATCTCAACCCATGAACCCTTTGTTATATTTTCTCTCCTTTGTCCAGTTGCAGAGGGGAGTGAGGGAGCAGCTTTGGTGGGTGCCTGACGTCCAGCCAGGGTCAACCCACTACAGTCTGTATTGATACAAGTAGTCATGAGGTACCTCTGCTTGGGGACCCAGGTATCATCTACATACAGAGGTTGTGAACACAAGTGAAAACTGAATTTAAGTTGTGAGTACTGATGAAATGATTCTGAAGCATCTACTTAGGTTCACATTGCTCTTTGTTTTCCATGCCTATTGCTGTACTACACTGTGGGACACCTGCTCAGCAAGAGCAGCAAAACTATATTAGAGCTGTGCTAGGAGAGCTGAAAGGAAGTCTGTCAGTGTGAGCTGTGCCAGCCAGCTGCAAATTCAGGCAAGGCCCTTGAGCTGGTCACTTACACAACTTAGCGTGGCCATACAGAAAGAGGACCCCTTTGGCTCAGGGTGGAAGACATAGTCTTCAATCCAGGTTCAGATCCCATTCAGCACCTAAAACCTGCCATTTCTTAATAAAAGCTTCAGTAAGTGAAAGAGCCTGTGTTTGAGGTGGAGTGGGATGGAGGGAGCTTTCCTGGCAGGCAGGTTTATACCTGTTTCCAAGGCCTCTCTTTCTGGTCAGTCTCAGTCACATCTGGTCCTGATGGGTGCTACAGAGAAAATCGCAGGGGTCTTCCATAGCATGCAGAGGGTGACTGCTTTGTTGATCCCCATCATCAGGGGAAATCTGTAGCCTACGCTCATGCTGGAATAGGGGCTTCCTGGCAAGAGATCATGGCAGGCAAATGGATGAAAATTTTGCTCCAGCTTGGTGGCTGGAATAGAAGGGAATTGTTTGGGGGTGTTGGGAGGGGGGAGGAACAGACTGGAGGTGATTTGCAGGGAAGAGCAGTGAAGTTTTTAGAAAGAAGACAGTGTGTGCTGTCACATTGCTGGGGACTCCCCAAAATGTTACTGTGGAAGGTGAGGACTGTGAAGACATTGGTGGTTTTGTCCCCCACATGGGGGGAGCACCTGGAGAAACTGTTGAACCTGTCCTCTGCCCAAAAGGAAATGTTCTTCCCAGTGCCGTCTGCCATACTCTCCTGGCGTCATGGAACCTTTGTGCTCAGCACACAATTCAGACATCAGCATGCGGACTGTTTTCCTCGGGGAGAAATGTGCTGAAAACACAGACAGCTTGCCAGGCTGCTTTTTTCATTTGGGTGCAGAATTTGTTTGTCAAACACAGTCATCCTTCCCCTTTGCCCTAGCAGACAAACACTGCCCAAATGCATATCCTGGGAGGTGGTGAGGTTAAGCATTCAGGTGATTGGTGCAGGTTACCAGTCTAGCATAGAAGCGAACTCTCTCATATTGGCTCCATCAACCTCAGTAAGAGCTGCTGTGTTCTTACTATCCAGAGCTATTAAAGCATCTTCTCAAAGAAAAGCTGGCACGCTATTGCACTGTCTTAAGAGTTTGCACCTGGGTGTACACTGCAGAGCTCTGCCAAGAGAAACACTGGTTTCCAAGCTTGTTAGCCTGCTGTTTGGAGTTTTAAATTTTTTTGTTTGGTTGGTTTTTGTTTTTTCTTTTTGGAAATTCTCCCACATTAAATTAAAAAGGAGATCTTGGTAAAGGAAATCAGAAGGGAAGATTTGAGATGCTTCATTTGCCAGCAGTCTCTGAACTTGTGACCTTTTAAAATAAAGTACTTGTGCTTTCCTGTGGGACAGCTCCGTTGGGATGGAGGCAGGCTTTCAGGCTTGTGTCTTTAGGAAGGGGCCTTTGACAGCATAGGAGAAGTTGCAGTGCAACATTCTCAGCCGGGACTTCCAGTATGGAAAGTTGTTCAGCTGGTTGGGGACTGTGATAAATCATGGTTCGCCTGGAGCACGCTGGGACTGCAGAGAGCTGGAAATAAATGCTAGGGAAATTCAGCTTTTGTAGTGGGCTATCTTTCAGGATGATGTATGGCTTTGTAACAGAGATTCCTTTGCTAGGGCTGGGAGAAAACTGCTGCCTTCCATTGGAAGGAAAACGTAACAATTCTGTTGATGTAAATCCACGCTGCAGGCTTGCCCTGAAAGATGTGCTTTGGCATGGGCCGCCTTGGCCTGAGAAACAGACTGTGGTACTAATGGAAAAGAGCCACAGAGAGCCCAGGGCAGTGACAATTAGTTTGGGGCTGAAATGGAATGGTAGGTTTGACGGGAGGGTAGGGAATGGGGGTGGTAGTTGGCCAGTATAGTAATGACTTACCAAGGGTGGCTGGGGAGGGAATTGGATGGCATGGGGTGCCATTTGCATCTCTGCCCCTTGACTGCCACATTGTCCTGAGCAAGTAATTTCTCTGGATGGATAAAATGTCTTCTCTTCAAATTGAAGCCTATGTCACTGCTTTTCTCCACTGACCATTCCCAATCAGCTTGGGATGTTTGGCTGTGCTCGTAGACATGTTACCTGATGGAGATCTGACAGTGTTTTAAGTTCTCTGCTCTGAGTGAGGGCTTGGATTGCCCAGAAGTTGAGGAGAGCCTGAGTTCTGTGTTTGTGTAGCAAACAGAGGTTCTCCCCTAGTTATAACTGATGTCAGTCTGTGTATAGGTTTGTCTGCACTAACTGCGTCCTCTCCTGGAGCTGGGTTTTGGTAGCACTGTTAAGGAGACCCAGCCAAATTGCTGGAGCCAGCCTCTTCTTCGGCTGTCTCCCATCCCCTGCTGTGGCCAGGTAGCTGGGGGACAGCTTTGTCCCAGGGAAAGGGAGAAGCAGCAGAGTCACCCTCTGCTCATGCCAGGACTCTGGCGCTTGTAGTAGGCAGCAGGCAAAGAATTCTTGCCATGCCCACATCCCAGATCAGGGACCTTGGCAAATGTTGTGCTGACTGAAGTGCTGAAATGCAGAATAGAGGAAGCAAGTGCCACATCAGAACCAGCACCATGTTGTGTCAGAGAAAACTCTGAGTTAACTTTTCATTATTCAGTTGCCACTGAATACCAGAAGTCTGATTGCAGGTTTCTGATATTCAGGCAAAGGTATGTATTCCATTTGGTCTTGGCAATAAAGTGAGATGATCAGCAAAATACATTGGTTTCTCAGGCCTAATGGGCTTTGATCAGTGATGTTGGTAGTGTAGCAGTGGGATGTTTTTTCCCCTCAAGTAACATAAATGTTTTTGTCTTAACAAGAGAAAAAAAAAAAGCAATTTCATCAAATCTGGTCACTGTTGCAGACAGTGACTTGGTGTTGTTCCTTGTCTGACTGAGTTCTCTTGAACTGTATCATCTGTTATTTTGCTCTGCTTTTTCTTATTTTTCATCAGCCTATACAGACTTCTTTTATGAGTTTTAACAGCTCTCTTTGTAATCTGTTTGTTATCTCTCAAAGATCTGTTTTGCTTGGTCAACTGCCTCATTGCCTGTGTTTATTTTGTTCAAATTCCCAAAATGGTAACTATACACTGTGCAGCATCAACTTGGTCAGGATATTTCAGGGGTATAATTTTTTCCACTCAAATGATTTGTAGTCTGCTTCTCTGAGCTGTGAATGTCAAGTTATCATCTTGTTTACCTTATTTTCCTGACTTCTGGCTGAAATTCAAATATTTTTACAAAATTAAAAATTCTGCAAACTTAAATCTGGCTAACTGATCCACAAGGGGGCAAATAACTGGTGTTTTTCCAGCGAAGTGGAAATGGTAGACTGGCTCTCAGTTTGGATTGAGACCAATGCAGTGTGTCTGGGTGCTAACTGCATGTGTGGGGTCCTGAAGGCTGTAGCCTTTAGATATACGCTGCTGAGCTTGAGTGCTTCACTGCTGTCCTCCCATCTTATGCACATTGTTAGCAAGGGGATGGTGTGGGTGCAACATCTCAGTCAGAATCTGAGCTGTGACTTAGCTAGTCCCTTCACAGGAACTAGGACAATGCTGGTGCCAAACCTTCTGTAGGCTTTAATCAAGAGTGAACACCACCACCTGGCTGAGAGTCAGACCTATAACAAGTGACACAAGGAAACTCAGTTAATATCTTCTCATCTTGGTGGATCTACATTGTAAATTAAGCGCTGTCATTTGGCTACCACCAATGTCCACTCTGTACTTTTAAAACTGCAGCAGTGTATGACCTTTTTCTGGTCCATGAAGTCATTGCCTTTTAGGTGCGTTACAGGCCCCCTGGGAATTGTACTTTCCTTCCAAACTAAAAACTAAACTAATTGCCCTTTTTTTCTCTCCAGCTGCCTTTTGGGGAGATATCGCTTTAGATGAAGATGATCTGAAGCTGTTTCAAATAGACAGAACTGTTGACTTAAAAAAGCACTCAGATGGCAATGCAAGACACACTTCAGGTAAGGGCAGCCCTGGGGCGATGCCTTCTTTCACCTGGTTTTGTCCTTAGGGAGGGAGGGCTTCCATTTCGCTTGTGATGCCTGTTCCCACGGCCAGGGTGGTGCATGCAGAGCTTCGTTATTGCACTGAGGGTGACATCCAACTCTGAACTTTGTTAAATAAAACACAAGTCACAATTTGATGTAGCCAAATCCTATCTTGTCTGTGGGAGAAGATTTTCAAATTTACAGAGTAGTTACTCTTTCTATGAGGAACTACCTTTTTGCCAGTTTGAAAGGAACTATGTTTGAAGTTGGGCTACACAGTGTAGCAGGAGTTTTGACTCTTAGTGTGCTCCTCCTTTTTCTTTCACTATATGATCCTTAATGGAATAACACATCTTTTCAGCTATCTACCTAGGTAAAACCCACTGCAGTCTAGTGTACAGACTACCCTTGAAGTGGTATTCTAATTGAAATAGGTAAACAGTTGTGTTGATTTTCTGTAAAGTATATGCTTATGTTGCCCCCCTACACAACTCTTACGTATGCTCAGCCTTGTGCCAGACCAAAGTTGTTTCTTGACTCAGGAGCTCTGACTGGACTCCAGCTCTAACTGTCCCTGAAATGTTCTGCAGTGGGTTCAGAGGGTTCCCCACAATACTGTTGCCTCTACTCCACTTAACGCTGCAAGAGAGAAATTGCTGGGAGTCTGATCTCTGAGAGATACCAGAGGGACTGGAGACAGAGCAGGTCAGGACAAACTTCTTTTCTGTCTTTGATGTTCTGCCTCTAGGTTAGCAACTAGGGTGAAAGCTTGGGTAGAGGCAGAAATCAGTGAAATTGTATGTTCACCTGTCCCCTGTGCAACTCAGCTCATATATCATTTGAAAGCACTGGTGGCTGGTTCTGTTTCCTTGTGACTGCCTGTCTTTGGCTTCAGAGCATCTAAGCTCTGTGTAGGTCCTGCTGTGAGGATGAGTGCTCCAGCTTCCTGTTGGGATAAGTGTGAAAGATGGCACATCCGACACAGGCATACTTTAGATGTTGATGTAACTGATTAAACTCATGCAGGTGCTGAAATTATTGGCAGAGGAGGGCTGTCCCGTTCTTCAGATTATGGATAGCTCCCTGGAAATACCATTTTCCTGCATTATCGTGTCACTTAGCACACTTATTTTGTGTTTTGGGCTGTGACACATTGTCAGGTGATAGGTTATTAGGAGTAGGTTGCCTTCAGATCAATCAGAAAATGAGGACTAACTGAGTGGGACAGGCAGCATTCATCTCTTCCACGTCCTTTTGTCAGTTCCTGAAGTTAGATGGGGACACTTCTGGGGAAGAAAAGCCAGATGATGTCTGACTGTATCAGTTTTCTCTGGTAACTTTTTTAGTTGTCATATCAAGCACATTTCTTTTACTTGGCACTGGTGCCAGACCCATGCCATCTGGAAAATGAACTGAATTTTATAACTCACATCTGTATCATGCAATGCAGCCATTGGTCTCTTACAGCCATGGCTCATGTTGTGTGGTTGGACTAGACTCTTCTTCACACTTTCTGCTGGTGCATCATACAGTGCTTTGCATTAGGTGAATGGAGATGTCATGTCACTCATTTGCCCCTGTCCTCATCTCTGGCAGGTTTCCTTTGTACCCTGGGAGTGCAAGCTGACAAATAGACAGCCCCTGTGACTGTGATGCTTTCTGCAGAGCACACACAGAGGGATCTCTGTGTTCACCTGCCTTGTGAGGGGCTCTCTGCAGAGGCAGGAGGGGCTGATCCTTCTCTTGTGGGGCTTGCTTGACACTCATGTGAATTGTAAGAGGGTGGTCTACTTTAGCATGGTGGGATTGGGATTCATTCTTCCCTGGAAGAAAATCCTGCTCTCTGCTTTATTTCCAGTGGGAAGAATGCAACCTCTGTACAGAAACAGCCTAAGACCTTTTATGAATGGAACCCCTTGAATTATAACATTTCAGAGTTTCCTAAAGCTGTTAATCGGATTAGTTGTATAGCGGAGGAAGTACTTAATACGTAGATACAGACGCACAGGCACTTCGTAGCTGGGAGTTGCAGTTCTGAACATGCTATTAGCCAGGCATTCTTCTTGCCCTGTGTTGCTTCCTTGTTCCCAGAAAATGATGTTCAGCTGGGAGGAGGAGTAGAAATTGTGCCATTTGATACCGTTGGGCTATTTATAGGTATACACCCTAATAGCTTGTGTGGAGCATCTGCACCTGTCAGGCTCTGGAGGAAGAATGAGGTTCCCATGTATTTAGGGGTAATGGGGCACTTGGTTCTTCTCTGGATCCAACTGATGTGCATCTGCCTTAGTGAAAGCTTTGCCTTGGCTGGTAAGGGCTGAGACTGTCAGATGTTTCAAGTTTTCCCCTTCATCACCTTCTTCTAGTCATTGTCTAGAAAATAGCTAGGTACTTTCCTGGGCCCTTTAGAGGGAGGAGCAGGGAATCTGAGGAGTATTTGGATTCTGCCACAGATCTCTGTTGTGAGCTTCACAGTACGAGTGTTTTACCTGAAGCTTAGTTTTACACTCATTAGTGATCTGGCAAAAGGACTGTTTAGAAGTTGCACGTTTGAGCTTCCTTTGAGTTGAAATAAGATTGATATAATTTTCTAAACCAGAAATATTTTTCCCCTCGTTGGCTGTTCTCCTTTGAATCTCCTAAACTCAGAGAATTCCCTCTGATCTTTTTATGTGTTGCTTTATATTATGAGAGATTCTGCAGACCAAAGTATCCCCTCCAATTCACTTGCTCATCCTGTTATTACCATCTGTAATGCCATATAAAATCTGCCAAACAGGGAAGTTCTCCTCCCCCCTTAAAGATGTTTTGCAGCTAGAAGAAGGGAGAAACAATGAGGAACATTGTTAAAATGAAAGTCCTACTTTGCATTTAAAATCTTTAGGCTGCCTCTCTATCTCTGTTTCTGTGGGATTAAGTTTAGATGTTATGTTTACTATGAAAAATCAGGTGTTCTCATGCAGTGGTGTTGAAATGGATACCTTTAGGATTTGGCCCCATGGAGAAACAGTAATGGTTCAAAACATAATGAAATGAATCCGGTACCTGGAGATCTGCCAGTGAGTGCTATCTCAGCAAACCCATGCATCACCAACTCCTAATCACTTTGATAAAAGGTTTTTCAAAAAGCTTTCAGTTTTGAAAAGTTTCTCATACTTTTTTTTTTTCTAAAACCTCAGTGAAAATTTTGGCTTTTGCAATATAATTTTCATTTAGAAGAAACTTGACTGCAAGCTTTGAGGACTCCTCTACTGCAATGGGAAAAAAGGGTGGAAAACTGCACAGTGTCACACCTCTTTTGGACACAAATGAGTCCACTGGTGCATGTTGATTATCTGCTGAAGCATTAGCCACAGAAGACGACCTTATTTCTTGCCATATCTGTGGGAAGTATGTGCCTGTTTAATACTAACTGGCTTAATTTAAGTCTTTACAGACATTTTAGGGACTAAGAGGACTTTTCTGATATATTACCTCTTTTCCTGATTTTTCTATCACAGAGGCAGTTTATAGTCCTGAAAGGCACCTCTGTGAGTGAGAAAGGCAAGTTTGTCTCTTCAGGGTTTGGCAGCAGCAGATCAGAAGCCAGGGGAGTCTGGCTGCCCTCACTGATGCCATGCTGTGCTGGGCTTGCTGCTGAGAAGCTGACTCTGCATGCCACTGCCGCCAAGAATGCTTTTCAAGAACAGTCAAAACAGGTTTTCTTTGCTTCTCATCCCGAGAGGTTTTTAGGCTCGTGGCTTGAAGACCTTGATGAGGCTTTCACACTGCCACAAATGACTGTTGGAAGAGATTTACAGAGCACCTCTGCTAACTAGAGTGAGTAATACTTCAGATAACAGTGCAGCCAGGAGTGGAATATATTTGAACGCAGGCTTTTTACTGAAATCAGGAGACTGGAGGCTCTGACAGCAAAGTCATGCAAATAATTCTCTGGCAAATGAGACCGACCAGAGTTCCACATTAAACCTTGTCCTAATAAGAACAGGGAGTTGCTTTGTTTGCAACACCTCTGCTGTTCTTGAGTGTACTGTGAAAATGCAGGCAGCTACTCTGCTGCTTCACCACACCTGCACAAGGGCCCTTCTGCAAGAAGATGCTTTGCTTTTGCTTAAGATGCCTAAGATCACTGACTCTGGTTGCATTATTGAGGCAAGGCATTGATTACCATGTAAGCTGGGATTACTTGCAGGACAGGGGGCTGGACACAGCTCTCCTGCTAAGAGTTGTGCTGCTTAGCTTTGGTGGAGAGTAAGACTTCTCTAGTGGAATAGTTAAGGTGGTAGTGGCAGTCAAAAGCAGGGCTTCTGCTGTTTCACTTGGTGAGCAGTTGTTCACTGAGCAGGGGCTGTGACCAGTAGTAGTGTTGCACATTTCATTTGAGTCCTCTTTGATGCTACTGAAGTGTTTCTAATGAAATTTAATTTAGTGCAAAATGCACTTTTCGAAGAGTGCAAAATCCAGGGATTTTAGACCATGACTGACTGAGATTCCAGGGAAGATCTGATTTATGGATTCGAAGGTGAGACTCTTAAATTCAGCTGACTTGGCACTTGCATGCCAAAGTCAGCTGTTTTTCCCCTTGTAACTCATATTTGGTGCTCTACTGTAGCGACAGTTGGTTCAGGGTAGAAGAGGTGGACTTCAGCACTAGTGGATTTTGCAGAATTTTAGAATCATAGAATTTAGGGCTGCTTGGGACCCAATCTTTAATTCATTTAGACTTAGAGCAAATCTATGGATTGTGCTAACTTAACCTGAGCTGTATTGGCTGTAATTGGCCAGGAGCAACACAAATAACTATGTATGTGAAGTAACATAACCCACATCTGTGAACTCCCTGCAGAGGTCTGCTCTTCCACTGGGAAATCTTAAGTGAAGGTTGCTTCCTCCTGTGTGGGTAGAGGAACATCTTTGTTCCAACAGACCTGTCTGAGGGCTCTGTCCATCTGTTTCCATACTTCCTTTCAGTT